TATTTAAGAATTACAATGTACAAATCAACTCTTGTATTTAATTGTGTGAAACTTGTGTCATAGTCAATTGTATTAGGCAAAGATCATGGTGATAAATTGGATGACTGCCATTGTTTCATAGTGTAACATATGATCAAACATGTTTTGAAGTGATAGTGTATCAGGCATGGTAATAGACTAAGGATTTTCTTGAAAATAATTTATTTCTATTGTTCATTGGCATACACATATGTTTATGTACAAATGATAAGAAATTACTTAATAAATAATTATTAGCCTTACTTATTATCACAGGCAAATTTTAATTATCCTCTTTCAACCATTTAGCTACAAGGGATCGAATTGTTTTCCGAGCTGCCTTCAGTTGAGGTAGATCAGTTTTCCTGCTCGGGTACATGACAGCACAATGGGCAGTATCTAAAGAAAGGTAAGAAATTTTAATTAGATTGCATTTTAATCCATTATTAACCCAGTTGTTTGCATTTTGTACACATATACCTTTGATGTAGATAGCTGGAGAGTCCTTGTGAATTGTCTTAATGATGCCAAGGGCATGCCAAGGGTCAGTTGAGCCATGAACAAACACTATGCGGTTTGCTTGGATGTGAAGATCTCCGTACAAGGTATTAGTTCGTTGTATTCCCTTTTCCATGAGTTCCTTCGTAAACCTATGGCAAATAGATATTAGTTAAGGAAATACTTATTTAACAGACTGATCTTATTCAATTATATATATGTCGTACTTAGAGCCAAAGATATCTGTGCACTGCCGTGTAAAGAAATCAACTGGGAACTTATCTGAGAATAAATCTTGGGTCATAGAAGAAGTTTGGAAGAATCCAAATTCAACACAAGTTTGATAAGTCCATTGGCGCCCTATAAAAGAGTACCAAGTAAAGATCCGGTTGAAAATTGTTCGATCACATGAATGAGCAGGCATAAATTCAAAAATATAATTACCTCCCTCTGCCATAACACTATCCCAAGATGTGTTACTCAGCTGCTGAACCGTCTTTTCATAGGTATAATCCAAGCATGTTTGATTGCTTGCTGAAAGCAGCATATCATTAACCAGTGCAAGGCGATGAACAGGGACACCTTTCTGCTGATCCATCATTACATCACAAACCACATCAATAGTGATGTTATTGGTGGGAGACCTTGGACGGTTGTCCTTATTGTATTGGACAACACCAGCAAAATTGCTGGCAAGATTTTCAAAGAGACTAGCCACATCATCACCATTAGAAACATTGATCTTGTCACATAACCTGAGGAAAGATGAGTCAATTTTATGTAACCCATTACACAAGTAATGAATCAACTTATCAAGGTGAACTTACCTAAACAGCTTATTTAATGATTGCTGGCCAATCATGTGCTTTAGTAATATTTCAACTTGTTGAAATGCTTCTTGGACTGATTTGACACATCTCGGATTGTATTCTGACAGAGCATCTTTAACTACAGTAAAATATTCTAGAAAAAAAAAATCAAAAACTTACAAAACATGTTATCGGAAAAAAAAAAATACACGATCATCTTTAAAAAAAAATCTACCACCTTTGAAATCTAGTTTGGCCAGTAAAGGACCACTTGCCGACATTGCTCCATGAACAAGATGGGGGTATCGCATGCGCATCCAAGCAGCTAAAGCACCAGGGTAGGAACCTCCATGTACTATCCACTTTGTGCCAGCAGGCAATTTATGCTCCTGGTTCATGGCTTCAATGAAGTAAGCAAGGTCAGCAAGAGCTTGTTCACTACTCAGGTAAACCAAGTTTTCTGTGCTTGTGTCTCTGTAAATGTCCAATTTAAAATACATACTCTTAATCCACAGAGCTAGTCACAAATCAATATGCTCTTTAAACTTACTGGGTTGGTTTGCTTTTTCCATAGTAGCGGTGTTCTAATTGGAAACAAAGGGCATTGAAGTATTGCGCGTCTTCAATCCACTGACCTTCCAGCATCCACTTGGCACTTGCTTCCCCCTCTCCACCGATCATAAGAAATACAGGTCCACCAGTCTTGTAGAATGTACTATTTGTGAAGTATCTCTGCAAAATCCCTCCTTTCATGCGTGAAACAGCAACTTTCAGCAACATTCACAATGCCAACAAAAGTACCTGATTCCAAGTTTGTTGGTTGGTGGGATCAAAGTGATCCAGCTGCTGATTGAACCATTGTTCAGGAGGTAAGATATCTTCAGGCATTTCAGACTTCGTCCAGAGTTGAATATTTCCTCCATGTTGTCGCCCTTTGGAGAAAAATCTCACGGAAGCCACAGATTGTAATAGACAAACTACCACAATGGTGGATAAAAGGACTTCCCGCATGTTGGTTAATTTTGCGCTCTGCATAAAAGTTTAAAAGCAAAACCATATACAGGACAAGTCAAGAGAGCTAGTTACAGGAGTAGGGGTCAAAGGTCATATTGGCATTGGCTGATCAGCTGTAGTATAAAGGAACAAAGCGGAGAGGGGGCGGTCACGAATTTTACGCGAAAATCATGCGATGACAAGGAGGTTTCACTTACAATCAACTAAAAGATAGACCGGTACGGTCTGTCAGAAAATGACAGCCGCTCGCACACTCAAATATATGTTCCTTTTGCGTCGAGTTTGACAGACAATAGCAGACGCCGGAATGCCGGACTGGATAAGCGTCCGGGTTCCGGACGTCCGCCACCCCCCCCCCCCCCCCCCCCCCCCCAAGCCCCCCGCAAAGGGGGGGGGGGGCAGTGGCGCGCATTGATTTGATTGATTTGTGTCTGCAAACTGCTGCAGAGGCTGCAGTAGCGATTTCTGTTTTGCTTTCTTCAAAAAATACATTATTTCTTCTGGTTTAATGATCGATGCTTTTAGGATTATGAATGAATGACGATTTTCACACTGTTCACGCTGTTTATTTGCAATGAGAAAGTAATCTTTAGATCATTGAAGCAGACAACAAGTTTTGGTCAGTTTCAAGTTATGTAAGCGGTAAAGCGAGCCCACGTTTCAAAATTGAGTAATTGGATCCCACACTACACCCACCACCCACCCACTCCCACTCTCCTTCCCCCCTCCCATCCTACACCCTCCCCCTTCTCCTCCATTCAAAACTTGTTTGCACGCCCCGACGCCGGGCGCTGTGCTGTGACTTGACTGCGGCGGATGCTGTGTGTTGTGTCGAACAACATTCTCGCGACGTCTTCGTGGTGTCACTCCACCACTTCAGTCTCGAGGCGGCCCTTCATCTGGCAGCGTTGAGCGTCTTTCCGAAGTAGTCCTCTAATTCTTCGTTCCCTCTTCATCATTAGGTAATATTTTCCAGCAATCCTTTGGGCATCTAGCACGTGGACGTTCTTTATATTTATGTAACCGAGGTCGTCTGGTTGTTACCTGACGCTGGAGCTATGATGCCAATGGGTCAAATGTTGGTCGATCAAGCGCACGCTCACTTTGGCGTCTGAAAAGTTGTCAAAGATCCAGTCGGCAGCAACAGGTGTCACTGCATTTGCCTACCGTTCAACAGGTGTCATTAGTTATAATTGGTTAGAAATGGGATTTCCGGCTTGGTCCTGCTAGCTGCCTCAGTTTTCTCCATAAATCCATGATAAACTTTCTGTGCGGTAACTCCAGTCCAGATTAAAACTATTTGCTTTCTTCACAGGCAGGAACACAACAGCCATGGCATCTCAAGGCGATTCTGTCGCTAAAGTGCTGTCAGGCACTGAAGTCTCAAAGTAGGCGCTTTTATTTGAAATTGAGTGTTCTCACATTTTTATATTCAGTATTTAAACCTAGTATTTGCTATTTTAGGGAAATCCAGGCTGGGCTGGCTGCTGATGTTGTCAAAATGGCACAAGTTCTTCCAAACTTCAGACCAGGCCTTGCCATTGTGCAGGTTGGCGGACGAGAAGATTCTAATGTTTACATTCGAATGAAATTAAAGGCTGCTGAACAGATTGGAATCCACGCTGTTCGTCATCAATTTCCCAGATCAATCACCGAGGCTGAGGTAGCATTTTAAAAATAAGTATTCTGTTTGAAGTTCTTAACCATATGCTTTTAATAAGTTTATTTGCATTTCTTTAGCTCCTGATGAAACTGAAAGCTCTGAATGATGACCCCAGTGTCCATGGAATCATTGTACAGATGCCTCTTGACTGTGAGAACAAAATTGATTCTCACCTTATAACAGATTTTGTTTCACCTGCTAAAGATGTTGATGGGTATGTGCCTAGTCTAAAATTACGTTAAGTGTTGAATCTTCATCAGTATCATACCTAATTTTTGGAAAAATTGTTGTTGAAAGGTTGAACACAATTAATGAAGGGCGTGTTGCTATTGGTGACATGAGTGGTTTTGTACCGTGCACTCCCAATGGCTGTATTGAGCTTATCAAAAAGAGTGGAGTATCTATGCAGGGTGCCCAGGCTGTTGTTTTAGGCAGAAGCAAGATTGTTGGAACCCCAGCTGCTGAACTTCTTAAGTGGCACAATGCCACAGTTACTGTTTGTCACTCCAGAACTAAAAATATGGAAAAATTGGTATGACTGTTTTTCTTATTTTTATTTTTAGATTAATTATCAATTTATCTCTGAAAGAGCATTTTATTTCTAGATCTCTGAAGCTGATATATTGGTTGTGGGTATTGGTCAGCCAATGATGGTAAAGGGTAGTTGGATCAAGCCGGGAGCAGTAGTAATTGACTGTGGCATCAATGCTATTCCTGGTAAGTTAAAACTTATTGAGTACTATCAAGATCTTTCTCTAGCTCTTCATCATCAAAAAACAGCTTGCTTCATGTTTACTCCTCCTCTGAGATAAGGAGGTCACCAGTATGATCTCATGCCTTTCACTGTCAGAAGTGGACGGGACATGACATGACCTTTGTAATCTGTGGGCTAAGGGAGCAAGGTTGCATCACTTTCTCTTTTAATTGTTTTTTTCTCCCTCTTTGTTTTCCATCCCTCATTGGGATGATAGTGGTTTTTGATTTGGAAAACTAGATGTTTTGGTTAGTATTGGTTTATTTATGACTGCCATTCTTTTCCTTTAGATCCCTCCAAGAAATCAGGTCAACGTCTTGTGGGTGATGTAGCCTATGATGAAGCAAAGAATGTAGCTTCTTACATTACCCCTGTTCCTGGAGGTGTAGGACCCATGACTGTTGCCATGTTGATGAAAAATACCGTTCTCTCAGCTCAACGTGCTTTTGATAAACTAATCAGTTGTAAATGGAATGTACGTCCTCTTCCATTAAAGCTGCAATCTCCAATTCCGTCGTGAGTACCTTTCCGTAATCTTATGTTTCTATGTTTTAAATGCATCAAATTATAATTACCGTATCTATTGGTTTGAATTCTGTTAGGGATATTACCATTGCAAGAGCACAGGAACCCAAGGACGTTGTTCAACTAGCTGAGGAAATTGGATTATTCCCCAATGAAATTGAGCAGTACGGGAACAAGAAAGCTAAAGTTAAGGTCTCTGTAGTGAATCGTTTGAAGGAATCCAAGTCAGGAAAATATGTTGTTGTTGCTGGGTAAGTTTTTCATCAAGTCTGCTGAAAAATTGCATTTACAGTTATTAATGGTTAATTAAACTTGGCAGCATCACACCTACTCCCCTTGGAGAGGGAAAAAGTACCACAACTATTGGTTTAGTGCAAGCTCTAGCCATACATAAAAACAAGAATTCCTTTGCATGCGTGAGGCAGCCTTCTCAGGGTCCTACTTTTGGAATCAAAGGTAATCTTAAATTTTCATAATTTCTGCTCTTTTTTTTCACATTACATAACATTACAAAACATTTGACAGTTATGCTTTCTTTTTTCCTTTTTTTTTTCCTTTTACATATTTATTAGGTGGGGCTGCTGGTGGTGGTTACTCCCAGGTTATTCCAATGGATGAGTTCAATCTTCATCTTACTGGAGACATTCATGCAGTTTCTGCTGCAAATAACCTTTTGGCTGCTCAAATTGATGCTCGTATATTCCATGAAGCCACTCAAAAAGATGAGGATCTATTTGACCGCCTTGTGCCCAAAAAGGGGGGTGTTCGCAAGTTTTCAGCAGTGCAGGTATGTATTGAGTTAATAGTGAAATAGATTTCTTCAAGTTGTATTCTTTGTGAAAGATTATCATGTGCTTGTCTGTTGTAGTTGAGGAGACTGCAGCGATTAGGCATCACTAAATCTGAACCAGACACTCTGAGCCAAGATGAGAAGAGACGTTTTGCACGCCTTGATATTGATCCTGACACTATTACTTGGAAACGAGGTATTTTTCCTTCTCTGAATTGGGGCGTTTTGGGTAGTGTTTCATGTTATCATTAATTTATTTCCATTATTGCAGTGGTGGACTTAAATGACAGGTATCTGCGAGAAATAACAGTTGGAGAGTCTCCATCTGAGAAAGGCAAAACAAGGAAGACAGGCTTTACTATATCTGTAGCCAGTGAAATCATGGCTATTCTGTCGCTGTCTCAGGATATGGAAGATATGAAGGAACGCTTAGCCAAAATTGTTATTGGACATGATCGCAGCAAAAATCCTGTTACAGCTGACGATTTGGTGAGTCATATGCCATTTCATGTAGACGTAAATCACTACCCAAAATCCAACCATTCTTTATAAATTCTTGCTATTCCAGGGTGTTACCGGAGGGTTGGCAATTCTTTTGAAAGACACCATTCATCCTACCTTGATGCAAACTCTGGAGGGGACCCCAGTCCTTGTTCATGCTGGTCCTTTTGCTAACATTGCTCATGGATGCTCATCCATTGTTGCTGACAATGTTGCTCTTAAGCTGGTAGGCCAAGATGGCTTTGTTGTCACAGAGGCAGGCTTTGGTTCAGATATTGGAATGGAAAAGTTCATGAACATCAAGTGCCGCTCCTCTGGTACAGCTCCCAATGCTGTGGTCTTGGTGTCCACTGTCAGAGCTCTTAAAATGCATGGTGGTGGTCCTCCAGTTGTTCCTGGCATTCCATTGAAGCCAGAGTACACTCAAGAGAACATTGAACTAGTAAAGAAGGGTTTGGCTAATCTTCAGAAGCACATTAGCAATGGTCAAAAGTATGGGGTTCCAGTGATTGTTGCCATCAACAGGTTTAAAGAGGATACTGATGCAGAGTTGAATCTAATCAAGCAAGTCAGCGAAGCTAGTGGAGCATTTAAAGCTGTGATCTGTACTCATTTCGCCAATGGTGGAGCTGGAGCTGTTGAGTTGGCCGATGCAGTGATTGAAGCCTGCAGCAAACCATCTGCCTTCAAATTTTTGTATGAACCTAGTTTGTCTCTTGTGCAAAAAATGAACATTATTGCTAAAGAAATGTATGGTGCAGGAGAAGTTAAGATTTCACCTTTAGTTGAGGAAAGACTGAAAGAGTATGAAGCCCAAGGGTTTGGAAAATATCCTATCTGTATGGCTAAAACCTCCCTTTCACTTTCTGGTGATGCTAGTGTGAAAGGTGCCCCCACTGGTTTTACTCTTGACATCAACAATGTTACCCTTAGTGCAGGTGCTGGATTTGTCGTTGCATACTGTGGGGACATTCTCACTATGCCAGGACTGGGTACCAGGCCAAGCTTCTTCGACATGGATTATGACTCAATTAATGATGAAATCCATGGTCTATTTTGATTTTGTTCTAAAAAAGGAATACTGTTTCGTGTCTTGTTTGTGGTAATTTCTTGTTAAATTAGTATTTTTATAATCTTACAATTACTCATTCCAAACTATTGCTAGTCACATGTTTTTGTATTCACTTCTCCCATGTATTTGTCTTTGCCATAAATTTCATACTCCAAAAAATGTTTTATGTAAATAAAATTTTATAGAAATACATTTTTACTTGTTTGTTTACCATCCCCCTCATCTACTTGGTGGTGGGAAGAACAAGTGTCACATACAGTGATTCATCTCCAAACACGGAATACATATAGATTTGACACTAATACCATTTGAAAATGCATATTCCCAAATCAATTCAAAGAATGAATCTTTTATCAGGACGCCCCTGTTTGTAGCTACACGATTGTAGCTACAGCCGACAGTGCCCGAATCAGTTTAAACTGAACCGTCCATAGACGAATTCATTACTTCCGCCAATGCTAGAATATCAACCAGAAGTAAACTGCACTAAGAACTAAAGCGAAAACGAAAGATGTCAATTCCTCTCCGAAGCTCTCGCCATGTCCAAGCGCTGGGAGGAGCAGGGGGCGGCGGGGGCCCGATTCAGGAAAGCATTGCCTACCCTCCAGGCGTTTTCAGCGACATTCGTCGACCCACGCCTAGATTGGCACGGCGTCACTTCTTAGCTTTAGAAAGGATTTATGAGCCTGGAGTCAAAGGGAGCCTACACCCAAAGTCGTCGTCACTACAGACGCCTTAGATAAAAGCCGTGGCTTATCTATGCCTACCTATGCAAAACCCTCATCATTGGCTCAGTTGGTAGAGCGCGCGCTCGGGACGCGGGTGGTTGTCGGTTCGAATACTGTGAGGTTCATTTTTTCCTATATTTAATAGTTTGCGGCGCAGGGACCAAGGGTTAAGACAAAAGACCAGCCGACATGGGGAGATGGACTTGACCGCCTACTCAGCAGCCTCCCCCCTTTCCCCCTGCCAAAAAACAACAAGAAAATGTTCGCCCCGACGCGGAGTCGACCCCTGGGCAGAGGGTGACTTCTGCACCAATCCCTAGCGCGCTCGCCGCTCGGCTGTCGGCTCCACTTGTCGACAAAAAGTTCAAACCTCGGTCACCTGCTTCACGAGTCTTGGTCTCCCGTATTGCACGCGTTCAGGTCGGGTCAAGTCCATCTCCTCGACGCGCTGCAGCCCGGGTCGGCTTTTGGCCCGAAACACGAGAAATGGCCACTTAAAGAGCCCCTTGGGCGCGCGGGGGTTAGGTTAGGTCCATGTATGTAACTTTTTCCGTGTTTTTGGCCAGAATTCGACCCGGGCTGCAGCGCGACGAGGAGGTGGACTTGAGCGGACCTGAACGCGTGCAATACATGAGAGCAAGACCCGTAAAGCAGGACCGAGTTCTGATCTCTTCGCAGAGAGGAGCAGCTGACAGCCAAGTGGCGAGCGCGCTGGTGTGCGGTCCGGAAACCGTCGGCCCAGGGATCGAATCCCGGCCGTAGAGCTTTTTTC